ATTGAGAGAAAAAGTCACAATTAAAGGCAGACATTACTTATTATTAACCTAAAAGTATTTTTCTTCTAGAACACTGCAGTTCATAAAACAGAGCCAAAAAGATAAAGGAATTAAAGTATACAAATAATCCAGAAAGTTGGAACCACAGTTCCTAAGCCAGATAAAATATGGCTTACCACATTGCTTTTTAACACTGGCATAAGAAGAAAAAAAAATCCAAAACCTCAGGCTGTTTTTATCCTCCAATAACAGATAGCATTACCAGTGTCAGAAGGGCACTTTATAACCTCAAGTGATGCTTTTCCTTCCCACTTGTCCCAGATCAGTAGCAACAGAATCCAATTTCTATTTAAGTCCATTCTTCAATTTGTAGGTATCTGTATAGATATAGGGCAATACAAAACTCATTACAGGGTTTAGCAAGTTGCTTTCAGTCATGTGTAAACTATATTTCAATCCACAAGTGATGAGACTGGAGAAACTTACTGTTTGCATTTAAAAAATTAAAAGATTGAAAAACAAAACCAAAACAAAACCTCTTTCCTATTTTCAGTGGTAACTGCACTAAAAAAACAAAACCAAACCAAACCCTCCCACATTTATTAAGCACATCACCACTAGAGGGCTCTGTAAGGCAGAACTTCCCTTTAATCTTATTTTCACTAAACGGATGCAAATGGTTCAAACCCAATGGAAAACAAATTAATAAATTACTCTTTTTCCTCCCTCACAGAGACTCTTACCAGATTTAAACAGTTGATTAGAAAATTTTGACTCTGAACTAAAGAGATTTTCAGCTGACTGAAGAAAACACCCTAAAAAATATGTGACTCCACAAAGCCTTTTACTTGCCATACTTGGTACAGTAGCTATGCTTTTTTTAAAAGAAGACAACACCGTTTCTTGCCAAGACAATGCTTTGCACAACTGCAAATAGCTTTGCACCAGTAGGTATGTGACTAACCAGGGCTGCTTCGGGCAAACATCCATAGCTTCATGTCAGTGCTAGAGAATCCTTTCTGTGCTACAACAGCCAGTGCTGCAGACATACATTAAAATATCCCAATTATTTCCTGCACTTCATCAAATTTCTCTGTCAAAGTAACATAGCAAACCTATGAACTATATTGAATCATCCCATCCCAACAACTACAGAAAACACAAGGAGAAAAAACATCCCTCCAAGAAAGAATGCAGGGGCACTAAAGCCATTCTCAATGGATAACAATTTCAGCTTTACAGCACACCTCACACCTCCATGTATTACCCTCTGTTTAGCAAGGACTTAGATCCCGCATAGAAAAAATATAAAACCAGAATCCTAGTGTGGCAAGGACAAAAGGCTCAAGGTCTTCTAAATACCTTTAAGCAATCTGATCCTTAGTGATTTACCAGCTGTCATTTTCAAAATCAGCTGAAAGTCAGACCCTACGTCTGGGTCATATATTGCAGTGGCTAACACATTCACTTGCGGCCACATTTGGAAAACAGGACTTGGTTGTCAAATGCTCTGCCTCTGCCAACAGAGGCACACGCAGACACTGACAGGCGGACAAGGAGACAGGTAGGTGACACCATTACTGCTGTGTCCTGGACGGGAAGCCAAGCACGGTGGGGCGCACCGACGCCTACTTTCTTCCAGAGCTCTGGAGGAATGCTGCAGGACAGCAACCCCCTTTGCGCTGCTGGAGCAGGTGGCAGGTGAGAAGTTCTTTAGGTGGCCCAGCCACTTGTCCCAAAGGCTGCCAGTGAGGGGAAATCCAGGGAACACCAAACTGTCATCGAGAGCCTATACTGCCACTAACACCTTCCCTCCAGCCCCCTCGCTTCACTGTGACTTTTTTTCCCCCAGACACTACAGCTACTTGGAACTTCCCATTTCTGCCAACATACCTATGTCTGTCAGGGTGCTGGTGAGCCCACCTTTCCTATTGTCTGCAGAAGAAGCCTAGGGAATCTGCAAGCACATATATAAAACTCACACACTTCACTTACTAGGATCAGGAGCAGTGACAGAATCACAGATAGGATTTGAATAAAAAGTTCAAGACAGAGAGGGAGGTGACATAAAATTAGAGAAACTGTACTTTAGTCCACTGCAGCATTACACTGCAGACAAGACATGTCATCTTAATTTTTTTAAGACACTGAATTTTCACGTACTACAGTTAGAAACTACTTGCATTAAGGGCAGGGTCATGCCGTGGCACAAAGACAAGGCAGAAGAGGGACTGGATGGGCCTTGCCACAACCAAACATAATCCTTCCCCATTCTGGGGAAGGAAAAGAAGGAAAAAGAAAGAAGACAGAAGACGATGGAAGAAGACAGAAGAAGAAAGACAGAAGAAGAAAGACAGAAGAAGAAAGACAGAAAGACAGAAAGACAGAAAGAAAGACAGAAAGACAGACAGAAAGACAGAAAGACAGACAGAAAGACAGACAGAAGAAGAGACAGAAAGACAGAAAGACAGAAAGACAGAAAGACAGAAAGACAGAAAGACAGAAGAAAAAAAAAAAGGCATCACCACATGGCAGACATGCCCAGAGACACCCCTTCCTCATGTGGCAGCTCATTTCACACCCAATCACTAAGGTCGTTCTTCCATCAGCACCTGAACGTCCTACACCTCCACAAAGATCCAAGCTTATAAATTTTCTCTGGATAACATTCCCATCCAACATTGTTTATATGCGTAGGGCATGCCATAATGCTCCTTGTGCATTTCTCAGCTGGGACTGCAATCCAGTTCCCTACAATCAAGAGGCCGATCTTCCCTGCAGAGCTGCAATGGGTATTTTTCTTTAACCCCTCCGCACACAGACGTAAGCGTCTTTGCTTTGGCCTTGCAACAGCCTCAGGCTGGCTCACTGCTCCATCTGCTGTGAGATTCAAAGCATACGCTTCTTGTCCTAGGCTGCAAGACGGTACTTCATGCAACTGAAACATCAGCTGTCACATCGTGCAATCTAAAGGTGATGGCAGTACAGTCTTCTGATATCCTGGGAAGTATGTCCCTAAAGCGTGCAGTGAGAATATCAAAGCAGAGCATGAATTTGGGTGTAAGAGTGAGGACTGTGTTACGTTAGTCTTCCAAAGCCAGAAGAACAAGGAAATATCTAAGTTAGCTACCCACAACTAGCTACTGAAGCATCAGTAAAGAAATACAGCACAGCAGAGGATGCAATTACAAATATGACAAAAGTAATGACAACTCCAGCTTCACTGCAGGTTGGTATTGTTCACCTGCAACATGGTATGCCAGAGATGCAACGACTTGGACAGGATTTTGCCTAAATAAAGGGCAATTCTACAACGCCTCAAGTCAGAGCCCTAAGTCACTTAGGCCTAGCAATACACAGCAAAAAAAAGTCTAAACATTTTCAGAGATCGGGATTTAACTGACCTGGTTGAAGTTAAGTCTGTAGCAATACCAGGAAAATAATCTGTATCCCTCAATACCTGATTGTGCTGACGTTGAACAGCAGGCTCAGTTTCTTCTCACAAAAGCAGATCTACCAGAAATTCCAATGTTTTGTGGGGGTTTTTTCTAAGCCAAAGAACGTTTTTATCTACTATCCTACGCATCTGTTCAGATTAATTGAATTCTTGAACATCTGTTTTTCTACCTTGTTTCAAGTTTTGTTCCAGAGATTATTCAAACTAACAGTCATGTTTGTTAAAATGACCAGTAACTGTCCAATCCTGGTGCTGACAAATTACCTGTTTCTTTTTGTTAAGCAGAAGGCTAATGTAACTCATTTGCCTGTTACTGCATTCGTTAATTAAAAAGTATAACAGTACAATCAATTCCAAAATATACTTCTTTCCACATTGAACAAGATGTTCAAAATACTTTCATGTAGATTCTTCTACAGATCCCTTTTCAAAAGTGCTTGGCCTGAGAGTCTGTGAACAGACTCCTGGCTCTGGATGAAATCCAGGGAGATTCTACTTTTCTATTCTTATTTTTATTTCCAAAGTAAAGAGTAGAGAGGCACCCTGTTCTGCCCCTCCCTTACGAAGAGACAGTTACTAGCTTTTCAACAATCCCCATAATGCATCCAATTAAAGAGACCAAAGACTTGTGCAAGATCTTTTCATGCCTTTTTTTAAGCAATACTTAACTGAAGGCACTGTGTGCGGAGGAGCCCTGTGATGGGCTATCTAATCTTAGCCCTACGCAGGCTCAAAGCACCACAGAGGCGTGGTGCCGGGACATTAAAACCTCAAGAAAAACAGGCTAAGGGGGACGTGGGGGCAGTTAAAAACCCTTAGCAATTTTAGTATCAGTGTAATTAGATATTACTACGTGACTTAAGAATAGTATTAACCTTGTCTTACTCATTAGACGACAGCTTCTAAGAAGAACATGTCTTAATGCCTCTGGCTTTCATTGAGATTTATATGGAAAAATCCATAAAATAAACTTTGCTATCTTCCTTTCTTTTTATACATTATTATGTATGAAATAATTCTATCAACACAAAATTTTGAAGTTTAGTTTGTAAAAAAAGGTTCACAAAGGTTGTTTAAATGGCATGTCCACTTTAGAGCAACCCAGAAGATTCAATATAAAAAGAGGATGAGAACTAGGGATCAGTCACACATAGGTAAACAGGTTCATACTGATGAATGTGCATGTAGTGAACCTGTAGGTTTTTTTCAAAAAACATTTCAATTGATTGTTTACTCCAAACTCCAACACGAAGTCAAGCATTGACTATGTCACTTGTCAGAAACAGTTTAACAATAACATTGAATCCTGGCTTAGTTAAAAAAGTTCAAGTATATTCTGAGCAGTCTTCAGTTCTTCGCCTGGGGCTACGCTCTTCTCATGTGTTGATCAACAGTCATTAAGTGTAAAAATAATTGTCATTTTACAGCTTCAAGTTCTTTATAAAAAGAACTTTTTTCAGGGTCCTTTACAAAAATTTTTCCTTGTTCTTCACTTCTGCAGATGATAGAGTAAGACAGCGGGGAGATACTTGTAGCTCCATTTTTAGTATCCTCTTCCTATTTTAAGAGGGAAGAAAAACACACCAAACAATTCACATCTTAGATGCATTTAAAGCAAATGAATTATATACGTAACACTAAATGAGTTGATAGAATAAAATAATTTATCATCATTATCTGTTCTCACAGTCCTTTCTGAATGCAAAAAACTAGCATGGTCTTACACAAGCATCGAAAAATGCAGAATACCGTGCTTCGGTTTAAATTAGCTACTGTGATGCACAGAAACTTTTTGCATAAAACTATAAACATCTATAAGAGATTAAAAAATACAACATTCTGTTTAATATTTAAAAGCTTTAGAAATCAGGAGCCATTCTTATTACCAAAATGTAAACCCCGCACACTCACCCCGAAAGCCTCCTCCACCACCTCTTCCTCCTCTTCCTCCACCTCTTCCTCCTCTGAATCCTCCTCCTCTTCCTCCTCCAAATCCTCCTAAACATAGGAAAGAAACTAGACTTTGAGGAGCATATAAATTCTTTATCATGCAAAACAACTTATTTCATTGACAGCTTCTGAAAGGAAAAGAACAACAACAAAAAAACCCACAAACTCAATTGCTGGACAGTTACTAGGTCAATTACTAGAACCTTGTCTCTTCTAGGGACCATCTGCAGCATTTTAGGTATTGTTTACTATCTGATATACAATGTCCAAAATAGTAAAGACACTAACCAAACTCCACGATAAACTTCTTCCATGAAAGCAAAAAATTAATTACAATTATTCATTAATTACCACTCAACAGAGCATTAAACCAAACAACTTTGAAACACTTTTGCCTCGCTGCCAGCGGGCAAGGTAGGGAGAAGAGGCAAGAAACTGTGACATAAGAAAAAGTTAACTTCAGCATTAATCAAGGAGTACATTGCAGGTATGTTTCAAAAAGCAAAGAAGGATGAGATCTACCAGGTCATTCACCCCTCTCTCAAACGCTGCAATTCAAATATTTTGTCCAAACTAGATTTTTTGAACCCACTAAAAATACAGCTTTCACTGACAGTTTTGAGTGTGTATTATCTACAACCTTTTACCACAAGTTTGCTTAGTAGTTACGCTTTCTGTCTTTGTTTTAAATCAGCATACTCTCCTCCCTATGCTTTGGAGCTATTATTTAGCTAGCTACAGAAGCCTAGGTTTTGCCATTGGAAAGATATCGCTGCCTCTTCCATTTGAGTCATCAAACAGAAATACGCTTAACATTTTTCTTTACAATACAACTGTTGGTATTCAAGTACTCAACTGCAACTTTACAACCATCCCCCCCCAAAAAAAACCCAAACCAAAAAAACCAAACAACCGCACACCAAAAAAACCCCAACATTCTGCAGCTTCCATTCTTGGGATCTTACCTCTACCACTGCCTCTTCCTCCTCCACGTCCACCACCACGTCCTCCTCTACCACCTCCTCTGGGAGGACCTTTTTCTCCAGGTGGCCTTGGCAAAAATCTCTGAAGGGGTAGCAACTTTGCTGGATCAATGTAAAACTGTAGGAAGACAGTTCCATTAGGCTTTGAAAATACCAAGGTTTATAAAAAGCACATTAACATCTCCCTTTACAAGTATCCACAATTTGGTCTTAACCCTTTATGTCAAATTGTCCTCTGCAAATAGCCAAATAAAGAAAGCGCACAAGAAATAAATCACAGTGTTATGAAGTTATTAAAATATCAAAGATATTTCCATGAGTTTCATTTGTTACATCTTTTTTTGCAGGGGGGCGAGAAGGAAGAACAAAAGTGAAAAGGAAGAGGAAATGAATACTTATGTTTACAAAGGACAACTAGCTTTTAAAGTTAATAAAAACTTAATAAAGCTTTTATTATCTGATGACAGATTTATCTAACTGATGACTACAGTAGAATTCTGTTATTGAGACTGGCTAACCTTTTGCATTTTTTTAAATGAAGAGGCTTTCATGTTCTCAGACAGTTTCACTGAAAAATACTGTTAGTTTCTTTAAGGAACACAGCAGGAATAAAATATTAGAAATTGTGATTTTGATTATTATATGAAAGGCACATTCAGACATTTTATAAATTATTACTTTATAAACAAAACTAAACATCATCACCGGAAATGAAAAATTACAATTAAAAGATCAGGAGAAACTATTGCCAATTTTTCTCAGGGTTTTTTTCGTAGTTACAAATACAGTACTTTGTGGTAAAATAATTTTTTCCTTCCATGTATCAAGGCATAAGGAGGAAGAACATACCAGCGAAAGAGTACATAAAAACATAATTGTGACGAAACAAATTTGCATAGCAAGCGATCACCCCTGTAGCCCCAGGGTGACCTCAGGGCTTATCTGGAACAATTTACATGCTGCAGGGGCTCTGCTGGTGCTGCTGCCGAGTGGTACAACTGCCCGGCTGTGGAAAAACAAAAGCCAGCAGGGACTGCTGGAGCAACCACATGCCCAGCCTCATCCTAGAGTGAAGTGGCAGACGCTCTCTGTAACCCCACATGCAGTCTTGTACGAATCCTTTGGCTCTCCAGTATGCAAGGACCTCGGTATGCAGTTCCTAAGACCAAAAAGAGCTGCTGGCCAACTCTGCTTAATTAACACTCAAGCTTAAATGGGGAAGCAAGGAGCTGCAAAATCCAGTAACATATTTTCTTAATATATTATCATAAGAAGAAACCAGGTTTCTGAAATTCAGATAATTCTGATACACAAATTAAATCTGCAAGTTAATACACTCAGAACGTGAGAGTGATTTAAACCTGCACATTTTACTTCACATTTAATGTGGGAGAGGAAAATGCATGCAGCTGGTTGCTGATGCTCAACCAGCCAACACAGGCTAAGGGTTACTCCTCGAGTTGTCCCGCTTTTGTCATGGATTCTGTCAATCTGGCAGCAACAACAGAACAGACTCAGTGCCTCTGTGTCAACAAGCTTGCTTTGCAAGAGGACATCCTAGCACAAGCCCACTTTTATTGGCAGTTTAAGTAATAAGCTGGACAATGAGCAACAGGACATCCTAGCACAAACTCACCTTTATAACTAAGTAATAAGCTGGAGCATGAGCAAGGTCCCCTAATGCACAAAAAACCCCCCCACTCCCTTGATCCAACTCTGTTATAGGTGAGTAACCTATAGGTGAAAATTTGGTCAGGTAGCTAGAAAAAGTAACACCTCGAACCACCATGGATCCAGAAGACATCTGCCAGCACTGGTACTGACTGAAAACCTCTGCCTGGCATAAGGTCACTCTGTCACACTGAAAAAGCTTTAAGACAGGCACTTAACGTGAATGAGGCACCTACTGACACCAACGGTTGCAGCTAGACTTGTGGCTGCTCACATCTAACTGGTAGCCAGGCCTTGAACTATTTTAAAATCCTCGAGATATTCTACTTAATAATCAATCAGCCTTTAAAAAACAAATATTGTACATCACACTTTTTTTGAAGGATACAAAATCTCTCAGCTGTCCAAAGATTTCATCCACTTTGCCAATCTGTTCCTTATTATCCAAGTACACTGGGGCGTTGAAATAAGGCACTTTGTTTTCTTCTGTTTTACATTTACAAACAATGTCATCTTCACACGGATGCATGAACTCTCCCAATACTGAAATAAAGAACAAACAAGCTAAAGATCTGGAGCAGTCATTCTAAATTAAATAAATATAATCTCTTCATGTAACTTACAAACTACCCTTTCCGGAGGCCCCTGGTCATATCCGCCTCTGTTGAAGCCTCCTCGTCCACCTCCCCGTCCAAAGCCACCTCGTCCACCGCGATTAAAGCCACCTCTGTCACCCCCGCCACCTCCTCCACGATTGAAGCCACCTCCTCTTCCTCCTCTTCCACGAAAAGACATTCTCTACTACCTCCTAAAACGTGGACAAAAATCAGTTGTTTAAGATGTAGAAGACATTTCACATTTGATTTGCTGTACAAATTAAAGTCTCCTGACAGCCTTGTTTGTTAATTCAACGGTTAGCCGCTTCAGTCCTCGCTGAAAACGCACAGGCCCACGAAAAAAAAATCAGGTTTACACCTCAGATGTCAGTCACTGCAACCCTACCTGTAAAAAGCGACTAGCAGTGACGGCACGTTTTTCGCTCGTAAGCATAAGGGTTGAACGTGACACTCTGCAGCCCCACGAAGGAGCGGCACAAAGCGAGAACACTCTCGGCGCG